AGCCTAAAAAAATGTTTGAATCCTCCCAAATAGCAATCAAATCAGTCCCAAAAGGTAGCATTTAATCGTCTTCCAAACAACATTTTAATGGACACCATTGCTCGACATTTGAAGCACTCAAATCAGCATGTATATTGGTCCAAAAACAGCTTTTAAAACCACTAAAACAGCATTTGAAAGCCTTCCAAAAAAACAGTGGGTTTACAAGGTTCAACATGACAGCTTCATCTTTTTAAAATAGTATTCAAATCAGCACCAAACAGTGCTCAATTGTTCTTGAAATAGTGAATGCTTGAAGCCCGAAATGACATTTGCTAAACAAAAAAAAAAAAAAAGGGTACATTAAGTCTTTCCAAAACATTATATGCATTCAACCTAAAAATCAGCATTTTAACCTTTCCAAAATACCCATGGGCTGCACCCAAAGCAATACTTCAAATACTCCACTCAACATGTATGTGGAGCTCAAAATGATTCTTTAAAGCCTCAAGTTCTCTCCATGGAAAGTAGCACACGTTGGAGGCTAAAGGACATTTAAACCTCTCTCCAAACCATCATAAATAGAGAGCCAAAAGATAGTTTTAAAATCTCTTTCAAATCAGCCAAAACACAAGGCAAGAGAGCTTTTAAATCCTTCATAAACCAACAAGAATAGAGGGCAAAGGCATGGAGAGGCAAAGGGAATTATTCACATATTACCCAATTCCTATATATTCACATGCCCGTTTAGCTGCGCAACATATCGAACATTTAAATTCTAATTTTTTTTACATTTATACTGCCCGAACCTTTCATATCATAAACACGTTTACTTTCACTTACACCTTTTCATGCATGAGTAGGGTGCTACATATGTAAAAATTGAGGTTTAAGCATTAGATATGCAAGCACATAAAGATTGGGTGGTATATATGTAAATCATGATGTTTGGGTGTTGGATGTGTAAATGCATATGTATTGTGTGATATGTATGCAAATGTTTAGGCCTTCCTAAAAAAAAAAGTGAACATTTAGCTCAAAAAGGGCATTTGAATATCCTTCAAATCAGTAAATAATCAGCCAAAAAAAACGACTAAACTTCTTCCAGAGCAACTAAACTTCTTCCAGAACAATAAGTAAACTTCTTCCAGAACAATAAGCAATCAGCCCAAAAAGCAATTGAATCTTCTTCCAAAACAGTAAATACATATAGCCAAAAGTAACTTTTAAACTCTCTCAAATCAACAAAAATAAAGAACAAAGGTCGCCCTCAAGTCCCCTCCAAATCAACCAAAACATAGGGCAGAAGTAGCTTTAAACTCTCCTTCAAATCAACCAAGACAGAGCTAAAATAGCTCTCAAACATATTCCAAATCAACAAAAATATAAAGCAAAACAGCTTTTAAACCTTTTTTTTCCAAATCAGCAAAATGGAGAGCAAAAAGAGCTCTCAAACATTTTCCAAATCGACAAAAATATAGAGCAAAACAGTTTTTAAACTTTTTCTTCCAAATCAGCAAAATAGAGAGCAAAAAGAGCTCTCAAACATTTTCCAAATCAACAAAAAATATAGGGCAAACCACCTTTTAAACCATTTCTTCCAAACTAGCAAAACTAGAGAGAAAAAGGTGTGGAGAGACTAAGGGGGTTACTCACGTACTGTCAATATTTTATTACAAAACATAGAAGATGCACAACCAGGATAACTATAGCTTCAGCAATATGAGCTAATTACAAAACATAGCAGATGTAAAACCAAGGTAACAATAAAACCAAGGTAACAATATGAGCATATAACAAAACATTATGCAACTATAAATATATGTTGGACTTCATGCATAGCTCAGCAGCCACATTGGCATATAAATACACGAATTCCCGCTCCAGCTTCCATACCCAACTCCAAAGGGGTATTGTATTGCCAGCAAAGAGAAAGGGGACCTTATTCATAGAAGAACAAAGAGGAAGGGGGGCTTCTTATAAAAAATCACAAGAGTCATGCATGAGCCTCTAGCATTGCTCAACAGTCACATTAGCATATCTAGCAACAATCGCTATAAAATTCTTGAATCATTTGCAGTTCTATAAAATGCTTTGGACACTTCATAAGGTGAACCTCAAATAAATGTAATAATATGCTGATGAAAGCAACCTTGCACACATCACATGCCCAAATCAAAGCACATACTAACACGTGCATCTCATGCTTTTCAAAAGGGGATTGATTGAATAGAAAGTGAAGAGATAGGTTACCTCTTGATGCAAGCCTAAAGAAACTTAAAGAACAAACACAAAAAATTCTAGCAACACCTTTACTTACCAGAGCTTCAACAACCACAAACCCTCCCCTAGGGGATTTTTTTTTTTATATCCAAGAAGAAAGACTATGGCCTCTTTAGAAAAAGTAGGGGATTTGAACATGCATAGCATCGGGAAGGTGGAATTTCAACTCGAGAGGTGTTGGGAAAGGAGAGGGTCCAACGGTCGGGGCTTCGCGAAGAAGAGGAAGAGTCGGCCAGCCAGGGCTTCACGAATGGAGGAGATGTTCGGTCAGTTAGGGCTCGGACGAGAAGGGATCAACCAAAGGGGAGGAAGGAATTGGTTTCGATCGGTCAGGGCTTGGTGGCCGAAGGAAAGGGATCGCGAGTTTCGCGAACGGGAGAGGAGGAAGTTTTGTGAGTTAGGGATTTAGGAGAGAAATAAAATGTTTTTTAATTATTAATTTTATAATGTTTAATATTTACAATCTCCGATTCACACATTATTCGTTTTTACGCGAAACTATCTCAACATGAATCCAAGGTAAAATCAAAGTCTCAGACGCACTCACGTCGTCTGTTTCGTCATCTGGGGTTGTTTGGACAGAGTTCATCGATTTACATGCAATTTGCTTGTGCGCAGAATTATAGCAATATGAGTTTCCTCCCTAGGTAAAATTGATGTCCCGGACGTGCTCGTTATTGAATTTAATTTTCTTTGAATTCTGGTTCGTGATTGATGATTTTCAAAATTAATTTTAGTTTTAATTGACGGTGAAGCGTATGTAAGTTTAGGTGATGTGAATGAGGTGTGAACCTGACCACACTAGGGCTTGATGATCTTATAGGAACCTTCTTTGAGTTTCATCATGTTGGTCTCAACCACCCAAGTGCTGGTGGTCAAAAACCACACATGTGAGACCCCAAGAAGTGTCAAGAAGTGGTTTGAATTTCTAAGCGGAGTAGGTCCCAACACTAGGCTTCTAAAATGATCAAAGGAAATCCCTATGACTAGATCTTAGGCTCTAGGGTGAAGGAAGGAATCCTCACAAAAATGAGGTCAACAGACGACAAAAAATAATTTTGGAACTTGAGCAATAACATTTGTGTATAGAGAATAAATTTGCTAGCAAATCATAATGTATGGTGAATCTATTTTTTCATGTCATTTAAATTCCACTAGAAGGTATCTCCTTAGCTTTGTCAGTAGACTTGGGCATGATCATAGATTTAAGTTCTAGATAATCTCTGCCCAAACTTCTAAGCTAGGTTCTTCAAGAGGCTTAAATATTGACTATTATCAAGTCTATCGACAAAATTTGAATCCTCACAACAATAATCTTTATAGAATAATAAGGACTTAATTTACAATCTAGTATCGATGTCAAAGATACTTGAACTTTTAGAATTGATTTAGGATTTTGAACCTCCAGAGTATGAGAAGCTGGTGTATAAATCTCCATGATAAAATACTTTTATATTGGAACGGGCTAGATGATCTTAAGAATAGTGTCTAAAGTTTCATATTGATGAAATTCATATTATTTCTAAGACGGTCGATCATTGTATGAATATTGATAGCATTATATGTCTCTATATTATCATATTTTCAAAGTGATTTATACTATTTTATGATTGTCGATGATTGTGGTAGTAGTATGTTTCATAAATAATATCTTTAGTACATTTGGGTAATATTTCGACCAATGATCAACATGCTTATATTGTCATCTCATAGTTTGATGAATGATGTCTGATTAAAATTACATGAACCATACAGTTCGCCCACATCTAAACATATCCATGATAATGTTGCTTGATTGGATCCTTACGACATTTGATGAACCCATAAATTCATAATGAAGTTTTTAAAGTAAATAAGGTAAATTTAGTAATTTACAGACTAATGTTTATGCTAGATGTTATCATTCAGGTGTAATCTATGCATCTCAGTCACTTTAATCATCTCGTTTTGACAATTTTATGGCAGCAAATGAAAGAAATCATATGGCTTCAAGCTAGGGTTTAGGCACTAGTACTCTTAGGAGGTATACTATAAATACCTAATGTTGTAGATAAAAGAAATAGAATCATGAGATATTGAATTCCTGTGGTATTACATTTTTCATTGCATTTTTTATTATGATCTGAGGAAGGAGAGAAGCACAATTATTAGATGGGAGGGAGTGCACAGAGGGTGTATAATCTTTCAATTTCTTGTAATCGATCGTAATCCCAATTACAAGCCATGAAACCTTTATGCATAGAAATAGGGATACAAGATACTATCAAACTTAGATCTAGATAAGTCCAAATATTCTTAGTCATCCAAACTCAAATCAAATTATAACTTTCAATAAAGTAAAAATTGAAATAAAATCTAATGCTAATCTAAAATACAAGAATTTTATTAGAATTTAATTAATTTCCTTGTGTCGCGCTCTCTCTCTCTCTCTCGCACAGCTGCATGCTGATACTTAACTTGATAGCATCATCTATTATTCTAGGATTACACAGAGGATGGATGGTTGGAGGGCTTGTTTTTTTCTCTTAATCTTATGCTCAGTCCTCGGAATGCAAGATTCTTTATAGCAGAAAATTAAAATTCTTGTAGCAATCAAATATATTACTTTTAGTTTTTCTGCACTCCTTGTTTCTGTTTCATAAATTTATGTCTTGTGTTGCCATACAGAACATATATAGGATTTAGGGATTCAGAATTCCTTAAATCAATAATATAAGCCTTCACAAATTATTGTGCAGGCCCTTACAGTGCATGGATTCTATTCGACTGAGATATGGAAGAGGCGTTCCATTGATAATGGAGCCTATTGCTTGGCATCACTTGATTTCTATAAATCAATAGAAGGTGTGAAAATTTCATTTAATTACCCTTTTTTTATTCATGGTGGGATGATTCATGTATTGGAACATGTCCCATGCTTGAAAAAATGACCCCAATAATGTTTTACGGATATTTGATGCAAAACAAGATATGGATCAAGGCAGCATTTGACTTACTCTAGCTATTTTGTGCTTCAAATTTTAATTTATTTGACTTCCATGAAAATTAATACTTAGAATTATCCTTTTTAAGAATTATTTTTTCCTTTTTTATTGGTAATACTTACCTTCTTTGTGATTATCTTTTTCTAACTTTTACTTCTTTTACATTTTTTATGCAAATTTATTATTTTTATAAATAGTTATATTTATGCCATGTAATTATTACATCGAATTAAATTGAATATAAATTCTACTTTAATCCTCCTAAATTCTATATTTGCTCTCTCCTTTCCACTCTTCTCCTTATTCCTTCCACATAACATTCTCTTAATTTAAACATCCAGGGCTTAAACTTCTTCTGGTTTCCATCTCATAGTCATTTTGAGACTTTATTTTCTTTCTAAATTAACTTATAATCTACTAAATGTTGAATTTAGCATTATCAAGTATTAAAAGTTCACGGAAAAAAAAATTAAGCCGCATCTTTTTGCGTAAGAGAAAAAAAACCCGGCGATATCATTTTAGACCCTAGCCACATCTCTCCCACTTCTTACGCAACCCTTAATCCCTACTAACGTAGAGTACACGCCAAAAGTGTGAAAATAGTAAAAAAAAAATGGAATAAAAATAATGTTACCAAACAATAAATTCTCAAGTTGTTATGTCAAGCCCTTAGGTCATCAGGTTGTCAAACCCATAATGCAAGAGGGTTGCAATTTTTTTTTTATATGATTTTTATAATCCAAGGCTAACTACGATAGTAACGCAAAAGGTCCTATTCATAGAAAAATTAAACATACTTAAGGATAAACATTCCTAATTGCATTCAAAAATTTTTTTTTAATTAAAATAATTAAAGGAAATTTGATAAGAACTAATAATATGCAAGGACTTTATAACTTGTTAGGTTCAACCCTTTATTTATTGGTTACACAACATGACTAATCTTATGCTCTATTTTTAATTAATTAAATTTTTGGGGTAAAATTATATTTTTTTCTTAAAACATCTCTAGTTGGAGATACAAGTTGTTTGAGAAATTCTAGTATTATTGCGTGCTTCAAATTCAAGAATACAAGCTGAGTTTGTGTTGCAACAGCTACCATTACCTTGTCGGTAATGGAGTCCTCACCATTGATACCCTGCGCGCCAGCGTTGGAATCAAGCTCCTTTCTGTTTCCAGACTGTAGCATTGATAATTGAGAGATTTTCAGGCTAGTGTTCATGCGTTTAGGGTTTAGGAAATGCTTTTGAGATAACCATCAACTCTTCCTTAATCTGTTTTGTCGGTTCTTCTTTGGATACATTTGCAAATAGTTCTGTGTGAAGAGCGATTCATTGATTATCAATTTTTAATGAACAATGAGTTAAGTTTGCCAATCCTATCCGTTTAAATTTTAGATTTTTAAATTTTTTTTAAACTTAATAACCTTGCTCCTAAGCTCAAAGGACTTGTCTTTGTGCTATTCTGATGAGCTTCTTGACATGTAACATAGTTATTTTGCTTGAACATTTCAGCTGCTGGATTTTTTGCAGGGCAGAAAGGGACTCTTAATCGAAATTGCAGTTTTCTCCTCGACTTCTTAGCTTTATCGATGTCAGTTGGGCATTACTTGATGATATGGTGGCTACAAGGCACATCATTTTTCCTCGTAAACACAGTTCTTTTCGTGTATTTGTGTGTAAGTACAATTGGATCAACAGCCATCCTGCTTTTATCATTTAGTCCTGCATGTTAATTAAAATTAACGACACAGCGTATTCTGAATAAAATGGTGAAGCGAGTGAGATGTTTCATCAACTTGAAGAATGATCCAATTTCCATAGGTGAAGCATTTCCTGATGCTACTGATAAGGATTTGTCTGTTTTCGATGACCAGTGCGCAATTTGTAGAGTAAGGAAGTTCTTCCATTGTTTCTGATGCCTTTTTTGGGGCATTTGCATACTACCAATTCTTATGTATTTCCATATCTAACACCTATACTTTTTTTATTTTTATACCACCCAAATCATCATAACTAAGGTGGCATATATGTAAAAATTGAAGTTTAGGTGTAGATATGTAAATACATAGGAATTAATTATAAAGAGATTGGGATAATCAACCATTTAATTTGCAGGGACCAATGGCCAAGGCTAAAAAGCTACCTTGCAACCACTTGTTTCATCTTGATTGCTTAAAACTATGGTATGATTTTTTCGCTTGTGTAATTTTCTTCTTAAATTCAAAATAAAAATTTAGAAGCTTTTGTTTTACTCTTTAAAAAATGTTTTTCTAAATTAACGTTTTTATGAGTGTTCTAAATTGGTCATAACATGTTTCATAGGCTGGATCAGGGCTGCACCGAGGCTTACTCTTGTCCCACTTGTCGAGGACTATTATTTGTTTCAAGTTCTGAAAATAAGACGAACTCTCTCGCCTCTCAAGTCCCAGATAATGCGCATATTGCCGGATCAATCAACCCATTTCCTGCTGCAATCTCCATCCAACCATCAACACGTTGAGGTTTTGTTTCTCTTTTTTTTCTTTTTGGGAAATTTGCATGCATGCCACATAATTCTTATGTATTTGCATATCTAACACCCAAGGTTCGATTTTTAACACTTCTATAATATTTTGGTATAATGAAATTATGCATGAAGATGTGTATTTCACTTTTCAAAAATCAATGATGGTGATATTTTTGATGTGATGTTACATATTTGAGCGGTATGCATGTAAATATGAATGCTTAGATGTTTTCAAGGCAGAGGGTAATGTGTTCTGTCTGATTTTCAAGCTTTGAAAGCTATTTCTGTACTAATTTCTATTGTGAAATTCAATCTATGGTTGGTCTGATGCCCTACTGTTCTTGTGCCCTATGCTCATTTAATAACAGAGGATAAATTATTATTATTTTCTGCTCAAAAGCGTACAAGATAGGAGTTTATTATTGCTTACATGAAGATTAAAGAGTATCCACAGTTTAAATATTCTCTTATTACACTTTAGGTGTGCCCGTACTTAATGGTATGTATTATAATGTGTATATGAATAACTCAATTTCAAGCTGGAGCGAGTCAATTTCAAGCTGAAGCGAATCTAGATAACTCAATTTGAGCTTGTTAGTTTTAATTTTGAGCCCGATTGACTCAATTTAGAGTCGAAACGAATCCAAATGGCTCAATTTCAGCCAGCTCGTTTCAATTTCGAGCCCGATCAACCTTGATTTAACTTGCCCGCTCAGCTTGAAATAAGATCGTTAACAGCCTCGTCTTAGATATGCATCAATATGAATGAGGAGTTTCACTACATTTTTTTAATTTAATCATAATGCCATACGAAAGAAAGAATTGGGTTGTATAAACGTAATTAAAGTTTAAGTGTTAGATCTGTATTTCTGTAAATGCCCCAAAATAAATCATTTGAATTTATTAGGTTGAATTCTTCAATTCATTAATTAGGAATGAGTTATTTAGTTACACCCGATGTAATCACCAACTGATTCAAAACTGGATAAAAGCTTTTAATATGCGCTGAGTTTTGCTCTGCCTTTATAGATAAGAGTGATCTTAATATAAATAGAGATTATTAGACATTAATCTTTATAGCTACTTAAAATATTTGCCCGTTTTGTGTGCTCCTCTCATAAATAATGTCATTAAAAAATTCATCGTAATAATAATATTATTATTTTATAAAATTCTGCTGAATAAAGATAATAGTTTTTTTTTTTTTAATTTAAATTGAAAAGTAACAGTTATGTTGAATAGTGTACACTCTGAAGAAGCGGAACGAGTCGATTCGAGCTCGAGCCACTCTTGATATGAGTTTGAGCTTGATTAATTTTATCGAGTTCAAGTTTGAGCTGACTCGTTTTATCGAGTTCAAGCCAGCTTGTTTATTATAAAATATAGAAAAAAAAATTAATTGTAAGTAGTATTATAATGCAATAACAAATATAGTGAACAACTAGAATAGAAATAATAGAAAATTGTTTAAAATAAAATACAAAATATTATTTTTTAAACTATTTTAATATTTTATTGATAAAATTTTCTAATTTGTTAAATGTTAGCACATAGAGCTCGGTTCGCGTGCCACTTCTCCAGACTTGTTTGAGCCATCTCACAAGTTAGCTTGATTCACTGACACCCTTTGCTATAAATAATCTCAAAATAATAATAGTATCTATATCAAAGTTTGTTTTTATTATTATTTCACACAAAATAAAAAATTATATTATTATTTTTTAAATAAGAAAATTAGACATGCTACCAAATCAGAGGAATCTGTGGTTGCCCAAAGCTTTGCTTATATTTTCTATTAAATTACGTTATGCCCAATAATTCAAATTTTTTCTCTGGGCTGTGGTCGGTATCTCGGATGTGGTTTTCCCTATTTCAGCACAATTGCTCGTAGTCCTCAGAGCAATGAGTTGAAATGCATGGGCAGGCCATGTGGGCCATCAAGTCACGGATTTTGCTCAATTAGTGCAATGTGGGCCTCTAGTCATATATTTTTGCACCGCACTAAGAAATGATGGGCCACGTTTCAAAATGGGCCCACAGGTCATCTCCTTGTCGAGGTGTCATGGCGCATTCGAATATAGAGAATTAATTTTTTTATACGCGATAAAAGATTTAAAAGAAATTAAGAAAAAGATAGTATCATATTATTTTCTTAATTTATATTTTATTTGTCCAAGAACGACTCTCTCTAGGGGCGTAAAATGAGTCGAGTCGGATCGTCGAGCTCAAGCCATCTTTTGATTGAGCTTGAACATTGATTAATTAATGGAGTTCGAGCTCGAGCTAGCTTGCAAGCTCCGCTTGTTTATTATGAAGGAGACAAAATATTATTTATTCAATCTAGTGTTTTAACAAAATGATAAATAGAATGAGCAATTAGGTACTAAATAATAAGAAAACACTTCATATAAACTATAAAATATTGTCTTAAAATATTTTTAATAATATAAAGAAAAAAGTCTTGAATTTTAATATACTTTAAGTATCTTTTATATTAATTATTTTTTAAACGAGTTAACTCAGAAGCTAATGACTCAAGTCAGGGTTGACTTGGGCTTGGCTTGTTAGCTCATTGAGCGTAACTCAATAACCACTTATTCATCCAAACCCGAGCCGGCTCACGTTATGGCTCACTTACACCCCAGTGACTCAAATGGAGATTTTTATGGAGGTTTTAAAAATGATATTAGTGTTAACTATGCTATTTAATTGTGTATGGTTTTTTAAAATAAAAAATTTTCTTTTTTTTACTATCTTCATGATGAATTAGACTTGGGGTCTTAATAGCTTGGGATGACTAATCCGTGATATTTTCACTCAGCTATCTCTACCCAATTAGTATGACTCTACCTCTCCTTTTCTATACTCGCTTTGAGTCTGGACGAAGATTTCATGTCATCGCCTCTATTAAATCTTCAATGCTTGAGAAGTGAACCAACCATTATGTGTAAAATGTGATAGGAGAATAATAGCCTTTTTAACAACTATATTAAATTTAATTAAAAAGAAAAGAATATTGATTACTATATGTTCCCAAGCATAGTCTACTTGGAACTACAGATATCAACACTTGTTTCATGCAGTATTATGACACTGTTAATCATTAAACATACTTCAATCATTTGGTTAGTAAGATAAAAACGACAATTTTTTAGGCTATAAACATGAAGTTCAGAGCTACTGCAGTGAAAATATTGAATTTAATCTTTGAAAATTCTTACACATTAACACTTTTTATCAAGTTTCGGGACTTGAGCATTAATGCGTCATAAGAAAATTTTATATTATGCAACATAAATTTTGATGCATGTTTTATAGCAATAAACATTCAAAATTCAAATTCAAGATCATCCACAGCTTCGATTTTAGTAATTTTATAGTTTATCTCGACATGTCAAACAAAATTATACCAAAATTGGTATGAAATAGGTCCAATCAAGCCCATAGAAAGTCATTCAAGCGCAATTTATAAATTTTCAATCATTATTTGAATGGTCAAACATATTTTAAATTTCACGGTCAAATCGAACGTCACAACTAGAGGAATCCAATGAGTTTAAGCTCGTTGAATTTCGAGGTCATTAAGACACCTAAATCCTTAAAAAAAATCACATGATCAAAGAGGATTAATATGAGACATTTGATTAGATGGTTGAGAATTCACTAGTGAAAAGACTAAAATATTTCTCCCCAAAGACTATAAATGGATCTCATCTCTTCATTTGAGGAGGGAAGGACAAGAAGAAGAATTTCAATGCTTAATTACATAATATATTAATATTCAATCATATCTAATAGTTATATGTCATTTCTAGTAGCTTTATGTTATGTTTAATAGTTTTATATAATATCAAGTAGCTTATATCTTGCAGTTTTATGTCATGTCATGCCATTTAGTTGAGCTTGACTGTTCCACAATTTGACTTGTTCTCCAACTAGGTAGTTCAACCACTTATGGAGTTAGACTACAGAGTCATTCAACAATTTGAAATCAGACAATTAAGCAATTTGATAATTGGGAAGCTCGCAAGGCCCTTTTAGTTGTATATTTTTATTTCCCCAATTCTCTCATGTCTCATTTATTTGATAGACAACTATGAAAAAAACAAGAGAATGAAAAACATAAAGCTATGTAATACCTAAGACTTACATATGAAAATCAACCACAATGCTCGAGCTTATAACTATCAATAAATGCATCAATAAGTTTATTAAGATATATTTTATGTTATTTCGGACTTTAAATCATTTTCAAAATAATTGATTAATAAACAATAAATTAATACCAGAAAATATATTAAAGAAAGATTTGATCTATAAATTTTGACTAATTTTTATGACTTTGTTATAAACCCGATTTATAAGCTGTCTCTACTAAAATATAGAAAATAATGAAGTTTAATAACTATGATTTTTTTCATATTTTTAGGAAAAATAAAAATATAAAAATATAAGATTTTGAGCAACTGTAATTTCTTAAGAAATGCATATGTGTGGGCATAAATTTATTTCTGGAGCAGTTTCACATTCATCATTCAAATTGTTTTCATCAGATGCCCCACAAATGATCACCTATCTTACGACTATTTTTTCATAATTTTTGGAGTTTTGGATTTCAAGATATAAAATATTTAATACAAATTCTACCAATTAAATAAAACAAATTGTATAATTATCTATCTACTAATGGCTCTATTTTTTTATATGTAAAATCCACCTAAGTTCATTTATCCGGAAGTTTCACTTAGCTTTTCCTTTCCCAACTGTGAAAAAATTTAGGTAGAAAGAGAGGTGGACAGGAAAGATAAGAGGACTTCTCGCGGTCACAGCTCGATTTTCTTGCGACGGGTCAGTTGGAAAAATTGACCGACTCAAGGCAGACCACCGCTAACCTATCTCTGATTTCAATGATTTGGCCTTTTTTTGTGTTTGTCAAATTTTGAAAACTTTAACGGTGTAACATTTAATATGTTGTTGCCCTAGCAATTTTGTGTATTTTGGCCTATACATATTAAATTTTCATTGGGTATTTCTTTTGTTTAAGGCAAAATTTCAAATTTAAATTATATAAAATTTCATATAAATGTAATTAAATTAATGTATATTTTGATATATTGACACAAAAATGACTACACGCATGTTTAATATGTTGTTTTTATTTGATTGTTAAATATGGATTTGTCATATGATTGGATACAGTGGATTTCTTTATTTTGTTTTACATGCATGTTTTACATATACACTGTGATGTTGAGTATATCATAAATGCTTAAAATGACATGATATTGTGATGTGTGTATGCAAGAAAGACTGGCTATTATGATTCGGGATGATGAAAGTATGATACCCTATGCAAGAGGATGAGCCGATGGGCTTTTCTTTAAATGGATTAGTGGTGTAAAACTGATACAAGTTGGTACTTAAAATGGGTTGAATATGATATGATATGTGTGTCGACGGACTGGAAATGTCTACTTCCGTATACTATGCCACATGACTGACTGTTCTAAAAATTTTTATTTACAGGATATGATATGATATTGTACATATTGTTTTATAATTGATATTAGAAAAACACCACATATGATTAGTCAGAAGATATATTGTCTAGTATATGTGTGATGAAATTTATGCTTGCTTATATTAATTTTATACATCATTACTATTGTGATTTGATATCATATTATGGGTACATATTTTATAGCATGCATATGCATGTTCAGTGACCTACAAACTTACTTATTTAACATATATGACATGATTATTATGCATGCATATTGATCTATTTCCGTGCATTGATTTCAATTGTAGGTTTCATATAACTTATTGTGTTGTTCACTTACTTTTGTTGATTTTATATATTTTCAGTGAATGGTAAGGATCCTAATGGTAAGGATCCTATGGAGTGAGCTGATAGTACTTGATGATAGAGGTATATTTTATATATTTATTTTGTGATCATGATAAATTTGTATGTTCTGTTGGGATTATTAGAAAATAAATATCAATGTGTATAAATGTTTTGGATGTAAATAATTTTGATGTATATAAAGAAAATGAAATGATAATGATCTTTAGCTTTATTTTTTATTACACTATTATTGGTGACTTGGTGATTCTGTGTAATGAAAATTAGACGAGAAAATAAATTCCTTCAAAATAGATCATGGGCTAAATAATCTGATGTGCACTCAACTTGATATAATCTATTTTCATATATGGGTTATATCAGGTTGGGTTGTGACAAATTATACATTGCTCGCCTCTATAAGGCAGACATATACTTCATTTATCTGAAAAATAAAGTTTCTTATACGAATTAATTTTTTTTAAAACAAAATAAGTGTTGTATTTCACAATATATTGATTATTCATCTATTTGGGGGCTCTTAGTACTACTACAAGAAATCATCCTTAGGCACTTTTGTTACACCTTTAGGATTCCATCCATTAGACATTATGACTCGCCTTTATATGCTTTATAGTTGTCTCGATGGTCATATAAAAAGAGTTCCCTAGCATTATCAGTAGGAAATAAATTTTGTTGTTTTTTTTTTATGTGACCAGATGTATTGTTTCCTTATAATATAATTCAATTATACAAGAATTAAAATAGTTTCACTAAACTCAAAGCACCCTTCATCTGAGAGCATTTTGGCTAGATCTGTAGGGAGTAGTTATTGTAATTTTTCAACTTTACTAGGGTGAGACCTCGTACTCTTCAATCCTTAAGTTAACTGACTCTGTCCTTATTTGACCGAGTTATATTTTGAAAAGAGTTTTTTCAAATTCATCCCTAGCATTTGTTTATTAAGTTGACTATAGTCTAAATGTTCGACAATTTTTCTTTTCTCTTATGAAACTTGTTTATAAAGGGCATGTTCCTTGATTTAAATTATGGAAGCATTAATAAAACATTATATGAAACCAATTATATATATTAGAGATTAGGAAGTGAAAATGAAAAATTCAAGGATAGAGCATCTTATCTCATATTGTAAAGATTCTTCTAGTGTGAACTTTGTTTTCCCTTTTAAGATATCTTAGCATAATTTCAGATTCAAAGCACATGTCCACGCTTGACACATATTTCAGGATGCTAAATTCTTTTAGGAAGTAGGGTTTTGTAATATATGTGAGTTATGCCCAAATTCTATTAACATTGAGTGGACGATGGAGAAAGAAATGGAGAGGAGTAACCTATGGAATTGAGCAGAAAAGGGAGAAGGAAAGAGAGAGGAGAAAGAGCCACCAGCTTATCTTTTTTTATTTTTACATTTAACCCTTTTTATAATCCCTGAGGTGTCATTTTATTATGATATATAAAATATATAAAGGCACATAATGCTAAGTAATTTCTAGCACTTTTATGTTATTTGCAACAACTTTATGTTATTTTCAACAACTTTATGTCATATTATGCAGCTTAATGTCATGTTCTGCAGTATTATCTCATTTCTTGTTAACTTGAAAGTTTAGTTGTTTGATTAGGTTTTTAGCCAGGTAGTTCAACCATTTTGATAGTTACATAATTTGTTGATTTACCAATTTTGAAGGGGATTGAGCAATTCGTAGACTATGAGATTCAGCGAGTATGCAACTGGCCAATTCATAATGCCTTTGTTATAATTACTTGCTTGGAATAATGCATTGTTGTTCTTCAGCTGGTCTTTTATATTAATCTTAATCCATTACAATATATATGTCGTTGAATTTATATGTCGTTTAAATATATACCAACTGGGCAGTTAAACAGGTAAGTAATTAAGCAAATGAACAATTCAACAATTTGTCTGTTGGATACTTCATAAACAAACATTCCTAATTCGAGATTAGAAAAATTGTTCTAAACAAACGATTCATATATGAGCTGTTTAACGAGCAGAACACGAGTTGTTGTCAAACAACAAGTTTTTTTCACAACCCTAATGTGAAATGGGTTCATGCTTAGGGTTATTTTTCTCTTATGGGCATTTCAATATATACCAACCAATTCCTATCTATTTGCATATCTAACACCTAATTTTTTCTTTTTTTTGCATCTAAACACCCAAATCTCTTATATTGATTTTTCTTAGAACTAGTAAAAAAAAATAATATAAATAATTAATATTACTATTTAGTTATTTAATTATTTTTCTAAAAGCTCTCTCTATTATTTATTATACACAAACATGAAAAAAAAAAAAAAAACTTAACGGGCTTGATTAAAACAATATTAGCTTTTAATTACATATTAATAAATAATTTTATAAATAAGGAAAAAGCTAAGGTCACATTATAAGAAAATAATAATAAAGAAACTTATATATTAGAGAATTTAGATCTAAATCTGATAATGATGGCTTTTAGAATCATAATATAATATTCATCATTAAAGCTAAATTCGAATATTTTCATTTTAACTTCTTCTATAATTATTGCAAGCAAAAGTATTATATATCAAGAAGAGGAGCATATGTGAGATTGCAGGCGATTAAAGTATAACTTAGCTGTCAAATTGACGGAAGGACAAGCTCAGGTTTTGGAGGGTTATGAGAGGGGTGGGGGAATGTGATTATTTGATGCCTTTTGCTTTGGGAAAAATATCAATAATAGTTAAATTATATCTATGGCACATATTATGACAAATAATGTCATAGTGGCTCAGAGAAGATACAATTGTAATTTTTATTTTTGCAAAAATCAACCCTGCCAGCCATCTAAAATGTTTATGAAATTCAAGATTTGAACTTTTTGGATTTTCTTGTCAATAAATATTCAATATTAATAATCTTTGATTTATCTTTTTTTTTAGAGGGCTCTTCTTCTTCAAAAATAAAAAGCTCAAAAAATTTTTTAGGAAGGTCAGTTTATAGTGTTAGGGCTGTTAACGATCTGATTACGATCATCCAAAAATTTGGCTTGTAGCTCGTCTCATTTTTTTTTTATCGGATCTTGATTCAAGCCAAAACTCAAGTTATTTTTTGGAGCGATTAACGATCTTCTTCGAGCTAAATTCAACGGCATATATATTGTAATGGATTAAGATTAATATAAAAAGGCCAGCTGAAGAACAACAATGCATTATTCCAAGCAAGTAATTATGACAACACAAACAGACACGAATCTCAAGTACAGTAACACATACCATAAATCAAAACAAAAACAAGAAACCAAAAATAATTAAATCCATAACCAATATGAGCAAGGAAGAAAGCAGGCATGCAGACTGGAACTAAAATCAAGGGCACTGAAAACCCTTAGGAACACGCCTGCCACAAAAGTTGACGAGTAGGCTGAGATCAATGGGGAGATTTGCCGAGAATATTGGCTTTAAGAGCCGTGCAGAGACACACTGCAGCTTCAAGGTCTACGAGTCCTTTCAGCAGACTGCAGCAAGGCTTTTTCGGCGGCTTTCCGAGGGATATATTGATGAGCCCATTCAGCACATCAGCGCACACTCCCAACTTCAGTGTATCAATGGGGCATCTTCCGCCGCCCGATGGGCTAGGGTTTGGGTTTGGGTTTGGGTTTGGGTTTGGGCTGGGGTTTGTCCCGGGTGAGCACGGAGGGGGCGGTGATGGCGGAACTGGGCAATTGCCGCTGGCGGCGTTAACCATGATGAAGACGAGCAGATTGGACGTGATAAAAAGGGCGGCTTTGGTTGCCATGATGACTGGTGAGTTGTGTATAGGAAGGAGGAAGGTGATGAGGTGAGGTTTCACTGAGTGTTGGGTATTTATAGGATGAGGAAGAAGAGAAGGGCGCATGTGAGGTATGAGCTGGAGGGGGCATCTTTATGGAGTTCTATTTTTGGCTTTGGGTTTTTAAATATTAGGGTTTTGAATGTTTATCATGGATGCACCTAAGATATGTTAGATATATCATCAAGTGTGGAGAGGAAAATTTATAATTCATGAGTGTTTTGGATTAATTATGAAGAAGATAAACATTTTTTGAATGAATGGTGGATGTGAAGAATACTTGCATTTTTTTGTAATAGAAATTATATATATATATATAAGGGAGAAGGAAAGAG